ACGGTGTTGCCTCCTCCCCACTCCCTGAGTCAGCTCAAGGGTGAGATCTTCTGGCTTTCTGTGCCTCAGGTGAAGGGCCTGGGGTCTGTTTTCTTTGCCCTCCATGCACTGTGCCACTGACTGGACTGGACACAGGATTGTGTTGGAGAGGGACATTTGTGGGGTGCATCCTCACATGCAGCCCTGCTGCTAAACTCTGTAAGCGACCAGGGCTTTCCCCAGTTGCTGGAAGCAGCTTTTCAGCCTGGGAGCCAGAATTCCTTGATGTCTTTTCTGTGGAAATAATGCCGAGAGTGGGCAGTTTCTGTGCTCTGCCTGTACACAGCCCTCCTCACAGCTTGCCCCAGTGCGCCCTTGCGTGCAGGGTGGTAATGAGAGCTTCAATGTGCTGACTTCTCCAAACTATTGTTTGGAGACTGTAACCAAAGGTGCTGTTTCCTCATTAGAATAGTCTTTGTCAGAGAATCTTTAATCAACTCTCCTGAAAGACATCATTTTTAGAACTACTTTTTATACCTCCTCTTGGAAATTCTTTGCACTGAACCTTGTGAAGAAACTAATGAGATGCTGTGAGAGTTCAGGCTACCGTTAATTAGAGGAGGTCTGAGCAAGTAACTGCACATACATTAACTTTATCTTCGCTCACATGTCCTCTCTCCCTCTGTCTCTTTTTTCCAGGTTGCACAAACAGCAGATGGCTTGGATGCTGACCTCTGGAAGGATGGCTTATTTAAAACCAAGGTCACACGATACCTTTGCTTTACGAGATCCTTTTCAAAAGAAAATGTAAGTCCATTTGCTGAGTGTCTGCATGATTTGCATCTGTGCCTGGTATGCTCTTACCAATAAGATGATTCATTTTATGGAGCCAATTATAATTCAAGCAGGCATTTCACCGAGTTTGGGTGACTCAGGAGGCAAACTGCAATGGCCAGATATTTCCATTCTGTCCATGTTCTTTGTGTGAAGAAGTCTCTGGCAAAATCTGCAATAAAAGCAGCAAGAAAGGGAATGCTTGCGTTTCAGCAGCTGCCTCACACTAGCACATCCATGCAATAATGGGCACTGCATGCTCATGATCCTGACAGATTTCTAACTGGTTGTCTAGAGAAACAAATGCTGCGGGTGGTGTCAATGAAGGAAATGTCACTTCCTGAATCCAGGGGTATCGTAGATCTTTTCTTGCAGGATTAGCTTTTCTGTCTTTGTTGCTTTTGATGCTGATTCTTGAAAATTTGCACACGTTGTGTGCATGCTACCATATTGTAATACTCTAGCATGGTTATTAAGCATAAGTTAATTTCTGATTAGGGGCAGTTGTCTGCCCACATTGACCATGTGTGGAGCCTGGTGCCTTCTACTGTATTTCTAGCTGAGGCTAGTGTGGAAACTTCCTCTTTTCTGGAGGAACTATTTAATTCTACAATGAATGCACTCCATCTAGTGGGTAATCCTGCTTTTTGTCGTGTTTTGGATATTCACAGTGGCTCAGTTGTCAGGGTATGGAGATAACATTTTGTGCTACTTCTTTCACCAATGACAGGAGCAGAAAAGCGACTGCTCCTTCAGAGGTTGATTGTGAGTCCTGACAGGAAAGCCAGGGGCTGCCAATTTCCAGCATTTGACCTTTATCCCATCCGCTTCCCTGACTGCCTCTAGATTAAAATAAAGCCCCAGAGCTATGGGAAATACTGCTTCCTGGGATGGATGGATAATAATTGTGCTTTTCATCCTGGAGTAACTGTAGCAGCAGGAGTAACAGCCCCAGAATAGATAGAGAGGGTATTAAGCAAGAATGTGTGATGTTTTGAGTATTAAGTTTATCTGTGGCTACCTTAAATGTCAGGTTGTCAGAAATCATTACAGGGTAGTAGCAACTGCTGGCTACCAGAGACAGTGTACATACCCTCAGTTGGTGCCTGTTGGCTGCTTGGTGTGAATCTCTGCTCAGCACTGTGTGGGAACACACTCCTCATGGTGAGGAGATCAAGTGAGTTAAAGGGAGTCTGGGGGAGAGCTGGGTCCTAGCAGCTGGTGTGTGAGCCCTGCATCCTGCCTGGTTGTCCCCAGCCCTGTGGCAGTGGCGTGTTGGCCCTGCAGGGCTGTGAGCAGAGCTGCTGGGCAGTTGCCTGTGGGCATGGCCATCCGTGGCCAGACTGTGGCCTGGAGCCAGCGCTGCTGCAGTTCACCAGGGTGGTCCAGACAGGTAGTGGGAACCCCCTCCTCTCTTGGAGGGATGTCCCGAGGCTGGTCGGCCTCCTCTGATTGAGGGTCTCCCTCCCCAGGACACCCCTCTGCCCAGACAGACTGGGCGCCTGCTACTTGAGGCCACAGGCTTTGCTTGTGTGAGGGGGCCTTTTTGTGCGGCAGAGACCAGATGGGTTGATGCCAGTTCCAGCCCACCAGTCCCTGGGGGAACAGAGCCTCTGGCTGCTCAGGGCTTTTTTTGTTTTTAACAAAACACTGGGAACTACTTGTTCTCAAGAACATGTTGTAGTTGGCAGAGTTAATGCACCTCAAATACCTGATTGTAATGGAGATAGTCTAGTGTCTCTACCAGAATCATCAGTCTTTGCAAGTTACAGTACTTGGCATATGATGTGGACATTGCTGGTGTTGGAGTGATGTGCTGAGGAGGCCCCAGATGGTGCACCTTTTGGGGGGGCTTTGTGCCCTTTCCTCCCGTGTATATGGCAGAGCATCAGTGCTGGCACCCAGTGTTCAGCAGCTAACAAACATATCAGAAGCATATCTTTATTTAGATAAATAAAACATGAAAGATGAATTGGAAACCACCACTTCATCTACCATTTGCTGTGCCAGAACCACATCAAGTGATGCATCCAGGCTTTGCAGCATCCAACATTGCTTGCTCTGAGATGTCCCGGCTGCAGTTGGGACAGAGCTACCCAGTCTTGGCCACTTTGTGTGAGCAAAGGGTGTGTGCCATACTTGTGTATAGTGGGACAGGGCTGCAGGAGTGGTGGCAATCCTGGTTAAGAAATACAACCTCCAAAAAATACTTTGACCTGAGTTCCCCTTATTTCAGGGGCTGCAAAATTAAATATGTTCTATGAAATAATCAGTAGTTTGATGTAATAATCAGAGAGTAGAGGCTTGCCTGAAATATTCTGCCAGATAAAAACTCCAGGAGGTGCTTAGCAACCAGTAACAGTAAAACGCACTTACATGGTTTGATGGCTTAGGATGAAATTTTAATTGTTCTGTATTGCATTTCTGTTTATAAAGGCTGTGCAGTAACTAAAGTGTGTGTGTTTTTCTTCCATACATGAATCCAGATTATTGGCAGCAATGCTGGCTTTAACGAGAACTGCAAAGAAAATGTGGTCTCTAAACAATTGTGGAGGCTGTCATTCTGAATTGTGTTTTGAGCTGTTCAAGCCTTGATTAATAGGATGAGGCATCAGTTCAGAATGCATATGGACTCCAAATGAAGTTCTTCGTTCCAAATGGCCTGTTCTTCTGGAGTGTGCCTGCGTTTGGAGCTAGAACCATGTCTATTCAGTCCTAATTAGCTAATGCATGTAATAACTTTGGCTGTGTCTGTATGAACCATCTTCCTGTAGTGCTTTCTGCTGTTACTGACAGAAATGTCATGTTACAGAGTGTGTGAGAACTGAGGTGAGTTGGTGGAGGTAATGCTTTTGAATGGCAATGTTTCCAAAGAGAAGAGTTTGGTTGTGCTTCTGAGGATCCACAAGTATGGCTGGGGATAAGGTGCAAGAATCTGTAAGTGCTGGAAGTTGTCTGATATTACCTAGTCAATCATCAAGCAGTTCCTGCAGAGGGGACAGTTGCAGATGTTGGCTTGGTACCTCCTTACCATTGTTAAAATTGGTGAGGTACAATGACTTGGTGTGTGGGGATTCAGCAGGTGAGAAAAGCTGGAGTTTAATTTGGTGACATTGTCAAAGTCAGCTGTTTCTTTTCTCTCTCCAAAGAGTCATTTAGGAAACGTCTTGGTTGATATGAAGCTTATTGATATCAAGGACACTTTACCTGTGGGCTTCATCCCTATCCAGGAGACCATCGATACACGTAAGTTGGCATCAGTTCTGCAGCCCCATGCCTGGGGAGCGGCTCCCGCAGCAGCACTGGGCAGCAGAGCGCTGGGTCCTGGGCAGGGGGACACATGCACTGCTGCTCTCTGGGGCTACATGTGAACATTTGGGGGCAGCTCTGGACTGCAGTGACTTTACACCTCCCTCTGTGCACAGAGCAAGACCTGTGTCCTAGCAGGTGATGCTGAGGATGGTGGGGTGTGTTTACATTTGCTGAGAGAAGCCAGAAGTACAGTGTCCAAGGAAAATACCATCCTTCTTTCTGCAAGGCAGAAATGGCTTTGCTGCTGCAACATTTAAGGCAGCAGTTCCCAAACAGTGTGTTCAGATCCCATGGCAGCAGCAGCTGGAGTAGCACCTGGTTGCAGCACTCCGCTCTGCAGCAGGTATCAAGTGCTTTGGACCTGTGTGGAGGAGGCTGGGGATGAGCCCTGTGAGAGCTGAATGTGGAGGGGCTGCAGGACACTGCTGTTGCTGAGGGCAGAGCTACTGCTTGGGCAGGGCTGGTACCAGTGCTTGGCAGTAATGAAATCCAGCCTGGTTGTGAGTAGAAAGGAGATACATGAGCCTGCTTTGCAGGGAATGATTCATCTGCAGCAGATGAGGATGGTTCTCTAGGCATATCAAGGACATGGGGGTCATCAAGAGCAGTCAGCATGGTTTTATCAAGGGTAAATCATGTTTGACTAACCTCATAGCCTTCTATGAGGAAATTACTAGGTGGATAGATGACGGTAGAGCGGTAGATGTGGTTTATCTTGATTTCAGTAAAGCATTTGACACTGTCTCCCACAGCATCCTTGTAGATAAGTTGATCAAGTATGGGTTTGATGATCAGGTAATGAGGTGGATCAAGAACTGGTTGAAAGGAAGGAGTCAGAGAGTTGTAGTCAATGGGGCAGAATCTGGTTGGAGGTGTGTGACTAGTGGAGTCCCTCAGGGGTCGGTACTGGGACTGGTGTTGTTCAACATCTTCATCAATTACTTGGTTGAGGGTACAGAATGTACCCTCAGCAAGTTTGCTGATGACACTAAGCTGGGAGGAGTGGCTGACACACCAGAAGGCTGTGCTGCCATTCAGAGAGACTTAGGCTGGAGAGTTGGGTGGGGAGAAACCTGATGAAGTTCAACAAGGGCAAGTGTAGAGTTTTGCATTTGGGGAAGAGAAACACCATGTACCAGTACAGGTTGGGGGCTGACCTGCTGGAGAGGAGTGTAGGTGAAAGGGACCTGGGGGTCCTGGTAGACAGGAGGATGACCATGAGCCAGCAATGTGCCCTTGTGGCTAGGAAGGCCAAAGGCATCCTGGGGGGCATTAGAAAGGGGGTGGGTAGTCGGGCAAGAGAGGTTGAAAGAGTCCAGCGCAGAGCTACAAAGATGATGAAGGGAGTGGAACATCTCCCTGATGAGGAAAGGCTGAGGGAGCTGGGTCTCTTTAGCTTGGAGAAAAGGAGACTGAGGGGTGACCTCATCAATGTTTACAAATATGTAAGGGGTGAATGTCAGGAAGATGGAGTTAGGCTTTTCTCAGTGATGACCAGTGATAGGACAAGGGGTAATGGGTGCAAATTGGAGCATAAGAGGTTCAAGGTGAATATCCGAAAAAATTTTTTTACTGTGAGAGTGACAGAGCCCTGGGGACAGGCTGCCCAGGGAGGTTGTGGAGTCTCCTTCACTGGAGACATTCAAAACCCACATGGATGCGTTCCTGTGTGATATACTCTAGGTGACCCTGCTCTGGCAGGGGGGGTGGACTAGATGATCTTTCGAGGTCCTTTCCAACCCCTAGGATTCTATGATTCTATGGTTTCTCAGTCACTACAGGCCTGGTTCTGATTTGAGCCTGTGACCTAGAGGTGAAAGGCTCTGCAGCTTGATTCCCACGGAGAGCATGTTGTGCACATGGTACATGTAGCACAGGGCAGAGTCATGGGCTTACCCCACTTGCCTTTGGGAGTGTGGAACACCTAGTATGTGCTGCTGTAATTTTTGAGAAAGTCCCAGTGGAAAAGTGGAAATGGGGCTTTGCAATTCATTTAAAATGCGTGGGACTGTGGCCTGTACAATCTCCAAGCAGAGGCACCGTCTGTGTTAATGAAGTGATTGAATCCCTGCCTCCCTTAGCATGAATGAACACATTTTGATTGACTATTTATATGTTTACTTAATGTTAACTCTGGTTAAACGGGTAATTGACGATTCTAGCTCCTAAACCAAGTTTGCTACAGACTCTAGCCAAGTGCGAAAGAGACCACAAACAAAAGCAAATAGTGGGCTTTGTACTTACTGTGAAACTCAAATAAGAGGCACTGATTTTGTTTAGAGTTTAATTTGTGGTTATATGTGTTTCTGTGCTCTTCTCTAAGTGGCAGCTGCTTGTAGTATATATATTAAATATAGTAGTCCTTACTAGGTTCTGAGAAAGCTTCAACATGTGGAAGCTTTAAGCTCTGGCCTCCTCAAATCGGTTTTAGGCACTTCATATATAAAAGTCCTAGTTTTCCAAAGCAGAAGATGAGACTTCAGGGATGCAGCACTGCTTTTAATGTTAAATACCTGTAACTGCAAAGCTGCCTACACAGCTGCTGTGTTGTGACACACCTCACGCTGTCTGTACGTTTATTGGAGCTGGTGTGACAGCAAATTTCAGAGGCCAGGATGGATTGCTTTCTCCAAGGTGCAGATTAGGAAACAGGAGGAGCCAATAGAGACAGGGCTGCTTGCCATCTGTTGAAGTGAGAGCTGATTTTTAAGCTGGAGGATATTTATTCATATTCAGCTGAAGGGTTTTTATTTTGCAGGCACTTGTTTGTAGTTGTTGGTTGTTTCCAGGTTTTCATTCAGTGTCTGCACTTCATTTTCATTTTACCAGTAGACTTCTGTCATGCCTTTCAAGTGCCTGCATTCACAAGTAGAAGCCTCACCTTGTTCACGTGGAGGCTCTCACAGACTCTAGGGTGAGACAGGGCAGTGGTTTCCAAGCACCATAAGTCTGTATGTGTGCCAGCACCACCTGCTGTCACACAACTGACCCATGACTAGATGTGGACTGTATCTGCATGCTCCCAGGCACTGTGCATACACATGAATTCATTATCCAGATAAGCCTTAACCGTGATGGGCTTGAGTTTTTCTTGATGGATAACATGGAAACAAGTGAAATGGCTCTGTGATGCACAGCAGGAAAAGGCCGTGCAGCAGATTGATCTGCCCTTTGAACCCAGATCAGTGCAGCACAGCTGCCCTGTAGGAGGTCCTGTAATCACTGCTTTGTAAATCCGGTTTACTCCTACGAAGATTCCAGGGCAAACACATTGGGAGTATCATTTCAGTGCGTGCTGACTGAGTCAGGAGAGTCCATTAACACTTGGAATGCAAGAGATTTGGGCAGACAGCTTTTGCTCTTAGCCAGTCTGTGTGACAGTCTGCTTTTCTGCCCGCTCCTCCTCGTGGTGTGGTTGGCTCTTTGCAGGCACTTGGCAGAATAAACTGACCGGTTGTGTCAGCAGCTTCCAGGTGTGTTTCTAGAGGCGGTGCCTGCGGGAGGAATATTTAGATCAGACTTTCCAGGCTGGCAAGGCTAACTTTATTTTGAAAAGAGAAAGCAAATGTGAGAAATGTGTGGAAGGGGAGAAATCACTTGCCATTTCTGTTATGTGGTGCAGTACTGTGTCATACATGATGTCTTATCTTCTCTGCAGAGGGTAGGAGGGAGTATTGGTTTATCACAGTGCCTAATAACAAATCTCACACAGTGTACAGAGAGCTCCTGCTAGAACATTTCTCCAGTCACTGAATGGCACTGCACTGTTCAGTTTGCTGACATATATCTGTTCTTTGGCTCCAGTTCGTCCTATAATTATCTGCCTAATATCTGGAGAGACAATAAATAACATTTATACCCTAATCTTGCATAAAAACCACCCTGTGTCCTGGGTTGTTTTTGCAGAAGAAGTAGCTTTCAGAAAGAAGAGGCTGTGCATTAAATTCATCCCTCGAGATTCTACAGAGGCAGCGATCTGCGACATCCGAATTCTGGGTAGATCTAAACAAGCCCCTCCTCAGTACACCTTCATAGGGTGAGTACCCCCAACTCCAGCAGCTGTTGTCATAAATTCAATTGTACCAAGGCTGAGCGCACTGTTTTTCTGTCATTACTAAATACTAGTTTGAAGCAACTGAAGCTTGCTGTTAGGAAAGTCTACATAAGTATAAGAGTTACTGAGTTTGATGTAGGAATTAACTAACCCTTTTTTTCCCAGTTAGACTGTTGTCACTAACCGAGGTGTTCATGAAATATGTCAGTGCTTAATACTTGTGCACATGTGCAGCATTTGCCTGTGGCACTAATGTCTTCTGTGTTGATTACACAGGGAATTGAACAGCATGGGCATTTGGTACCGCATGGGCAGAGTTCCACGCAACCATGAAGCTTCACAGTCTGAAACTCCTCCTTCTCAGGCACCATCTTCAACACCAGCTCCTAATCTGCCCAGGTAAGTTTTTCTGCTTTCCAGATCCTTCTGCTTGATGCTGTGTGGTGTGTTGTTACTAACCTTGGCAGGTGGAATCAAGAGCAGGGTGTCACATCAGTGTGAATGGTTACGTGGCATGATCTGATGATGAAAGAATGCGTCAGTCTTTCAAGTGTTTGCCTGCTGGAAGTTTCTTGCATGTCATTGTACAAAGGCATACAAGTGAAGAAATTCAGAAGAAAAGGAAGGGAAACAGCAAATTACGTTTTTTCATTCAACTGCAGGATATTGCAGTTTCCAACAAGTACGTGTGGGTCACCCATGGAGGGTGGGCCAGACTACAGCCAGGCTGATTTTTTTCCCTGTCCAAAGAGAGGGAGAAGCATTCATACAGATCTGAATGCATAGAGAGACAAGGTTTGCTCATTCTCCAGAGTTAATCTACGCATGGTTTGACGTACTGGCCCTGTTTTTTCTTTTCTTGGACATGACTACTGTGGTCCAGTCTTGGAGCTGACACTGAGCATGCAGAGTGGACTGCTCATCCTGCAGCGACTGACAGGAGCAGCACTCCTGGGCAGAGGCTGGCACAGTGTCTGCCCACACTGTTTTCCCGGTGTCACAGGCAGTATCCATGTGCTCAGCTAATGTACACACTTGTGTGTATACCTGCATATAACAGCAGTCGAGTGCTGACAGCTCACTTGCTGGATTTCTCTGGGCAAAACAGAGCGTTGTTAAGCAACAAACCAACCCAGACAGAGGTTAAACTGAGCACTCTATTCTGGTGGCATTTGCTATGAAAGCACAGCATCCAGCTTGAGATGGGCTCCTCCTGACAGGGCTCATTGGCTGAGCTCTGGGCCGGGCTATTGCCTGGGACAGCTCGTTCTCCATGAGTCCCTTTGGGCTTTTGCTTAATTAAGTGAGCACTAGGCACTTGATATACTGCAGATACATTTACAATGTTATAATAACTGTTGGGAGTTAGAATTTGGAAGGAGGCAGTGGAGAGGAATTCCAGGGAGATCCAGTCACTATCATATGGGTGGAAAATACACATCATTCGGAGTCTTGATTTACAGGTCATTTTAGAGAGTGATGCTTTTAAACTGCTGTGAACTGTTTCCAAAAAGCAATCAGGTCTCTTTTAAGAGAAGTTTGTACATCTGAGCCTTTGCCCGTGACCTGGACTTAAATCTGCTCTCTTGCAGGGGCTCTTTGAGCTCTTCAAAGTGTTTGGATGTTTCTTTCACAGAGTTTTGCTCAGTTGCCTGCCATGCTGTGGCACTCTTGCTTGCTGTCCTGTACTAGTAGGTGTGCAGCAGGCAGAGATGCTGTCTGGCTTACCAAGCAGAGATGGAGACAAAAGGCATGAAAAGCCAGCAGTCTTCTGAAGGCTTCAGCCTGTCTCACCAGGAGCTGACACATCTTTTTGAGGCTCCGCTGGACATAAGCTACATGCGAGTACAGGCCATGTGAGATCAGAGAAAACAATGTCTTGATTTTAGGGCACAGATCTTCATTTTCTGTCTGCAAGAAACTACTGCCTGGGCAGATTTCCACAATAAAGAAAAAAAATTATCATAGTAAGAGAATGTCAATGGCAGTCCTTAATCACTAAATGTGGAAGGGTCACTTTATGGCTGAGCAGGGAAGGCTGCAGAGCAGCGTCAGAGCTATTGGGAACAGGGCCAAAATTAGAGCATCCGCAATGGCCTGAAAAGAAGTGTTTACAAGGCTTATATATTTTATAACCTCTTGTTGTACAGTTTATGGTTTACAATGGCTGCAAGGAAATTGGATCAGTTTTGTTTTACTTGCCAAATAAAGCAAATGTCAAAATAGTCAATATAAAATGTATTCTAATTTGGCTGAGTTAAAACAGCCAGTATGCAGTGGAATAATTGAATGTTACATTAATGCCTCCTAGTAAAAGCCACCTGTCTGTAGCCAGCTCCACTCTCATGCCCTGTGCATGATTTACAGGTAACTTTTACACCACCAGCCTGATCATTCAAAGCATCCTTCATGTCTATTTTTTTTACTCTGATTATTTATTATCCAATATATTTTTTAAGAAATAGAAATGTATATAAAGGTGCATCCTGCAAATATTTCATTATTATGGGTACCACACACTACTTGAAATACTTCTGATACTTTATCAGCAATGTGGGAAATTACTCAACACCAATGTTTGTGGAAGACTGTAGTCACAAGTAACCTCTTATTTTTATGTCACCATAGAGAGATGAGATTACACTGGTAGACAGTTTCCTGCTCTATCCTTTGTGGATATATTGGGACAGGAATGGCAGTGGATTATTCTGATGCTAAGAGAAAATCGGTGAGCAGTGCTAGATAGAGAGCACTGCAGAGGTCCTTCTGTTACATTGGTCAGATACTTAAACTGTGCTGTTCAGTTGCTGTCTAGCATTGAAATCAAGAGGGTAGGCTTGGGTGCTTCACAACAATTGCTGACACTGGGTAGAAACTAGACCTGTAAAACATACTAGTGAGCTTCTGCACAGCAAAACCTTTGTAAATTGAAGGACTTTCACTGTGTGAGGTGTTTATTCCTGCACCAGCCGTATTCCCTCCTTGGGTCCCTGGTGTAAGTCACTGATGGTAGTGGATGGTGGCACGTCAGAGCTTTGGCCTGTGTTGGGTCTGACCCCCACAGCTTGGTGCACCTCAGCCATGCTGTTTCCACTGCCTGTGTTGTGGGGCTACAGCTCACAGGCAGAACTGCATAAGGGTAGGCTTTGATATTTGTGCTGGACTGTGTGTTATTTTTTAGCCGTTTCTTCTTGGTGTTTCCTACTGCAGGCATCTGGCTTAATGGTCTCTGTCGGCAGCCCTTGTGCATCCCAGCGAGGATGCCATGCTGTGCTGTGGACCACAGCCCTGCCGTTGTGCAGGGCATCAAACTGCTTTACTGTCTTTTTCTCTCCAAATTCTGTGACAGCTTCTTGGCACTAATGGCAGCTTGGAGAAATGCACTTGCAGTTTCCCATCCTAGAAGGATGCTGTTAAAGAACTGCTTTTGTTTACTTGAGTTACCAGTGGGATTTTAATGTAACTTTCCTCAGTACCTCTGCTCTGTGTTCAAGGCTTGTGCTCTCTGGTGCTGCATGGCCATCCTCCTCCAAAAAAGTGCTAGTAACAGGTAACTCATCCGGCCCTTAGTGTACTTTTGCTCCGTCTAGCCTGTAGTTCAGCAATTGCCAGCACGTGGTCTGGGCACTTGGAGGAAAGTGCACGTCACGAGCGTTTGAACAGTATCTTGGGCATCAGCCCCTCTATGCCTCAGGCTCTGTTGGAGTTGGCTAGAGCAGGATTTGTGTGAGGTTCTCCTCTTTCTTTGTGAGTCTAGTTCCAGACTTTTGGGTGCAAGTCCCTGACTTCTGTGAATGCACACAGAGCCAACCTTGAACCATTTTGCCCTACGGCTGCCTGTGCAATGGCTCTTGTCACAGCCACTGTACTTCGAGCTAATGTGGCTTCTGTGGCTGGGGAATGTGTCTTGTGTCCCTCGTCAAGGTGCTGCAGGTTTCTCTACCACCATCGTTCTAATAGTCGTCTCACGATTTGTCAGCTGCAAGCAAGATGTCAGTCAGTGCTGCTGAAGTGTGTTTTACAGTGACAGACATAATTGCACTTAACTTTTTGCGTGGATGTTATCAATCTGTGACAGATACTTTGGGAAATGGAGCACTCTGATTGCAGATGATGTGTCACAGGCGTTTAATCTTCCTCTCGGAGACACCGGGATTCAGTCACAACTTTTACTTGTTGATGTCAGGTTTTGAAAATGTAGATTTGTGCTGACCCTGGGAATTGTTCAGTCATTTAGTTTGCAGGGCTGTCATCTGAAAGGTTAATGGTTTGCCACGGAGAAGTAAGATCTTGCTGCAGTCCACTCGTATTCATACCATGTGTTAGCGTGGCTGGGCACTCAGCGTCTCGGTTCAGAAGGGCAGAACTCCCCCAGCTGCCTTCCCGTGTGCCTGTGGCATGTCTCCACAGCTGCTCTAATTGGCAACCACAGAGGCAGGGCAGGGGAGAGGACTTGGGCTGCAGGGTAAGCCTGAGCAGCAGGTCTCAGTGAGGCTCATGGTGTGTGTCCACTGCTGCCCAGGAGCAGAGCTGTGAATCAGTCACTTGTGTCCTGGACTGCCTAGAAAGGCACGTGGGTGAGCAAAACCGTGTCGGCCCCAAGTGCTGCACCTGCAGGTGTGCCTGGTGACCAGAATGGTAGCAGAGCTGGTGGGACATCTGGCCAGGAGGTGCCAGGGGTGTGGGATACCCACGCCTCAGGAGAGAGTTGCCGTCCTGGTCAGGTGGCAGTGGGAACACTGAGCAGCTCGGTTGGGTTTCTGTCACATGGGGCTTGTGGTATAGCCAGGCCATAGCCATGGTGGGGACTGGCAGAAGCAGGCACCAGTTAGCAGAGACAAACAGGGAGAGGATCAGAAGAAGGGTGACGGCTCCCCAGGAGCAGCACACGGCTGCTGAGGCACGGCTGCCCGCCCCCCTGTGAAGCCAGCACAAGCCGGGCAGGTGGAAGGGGCGCGATTCTGTCCAGGTCAGCGGGTGAGGTGGCTGGGCTGGCCCAGGGGCAGAGAGTCTGGGCTGAGGCAGAGCCCATGGGGGCTGGGGCTGGCAGGCGAAGGCCCCCGGCACAGCCAGGCAGTACGAAATGCTCGCTGTGGGCACGAAGGGACCATGCTGCTGGTGCTGAAGGTGGGGCCCAGCTGCAAAGGCAGCCAGTGTTTTGTGCCACTCTGTCTGGAGGGGACACAAGTGCTGGCCCCTGCAGCAGCATTGGATGGCCATGGGCCCTGTGCTGGCCATCCCAGGGGGTGGCAGTGGTCCCTCTGGTCTCTGCCCCAGCCCAGGAGCTGTATCCAGGGACAGAGCAGCATCTGGCAGCTCCCTGCTGCCAGCCTCCTCCCAGACATCTGGGCTTCTGCAGTGAGAGGGGCTCTGTGCTGTGCAGGCCCAGTGAACCTCTGCTGT